CCATTCATCAGATTCAAGAGTGGAAGCGAGGGTTTTATTCCGCCCGCATATGATGATCAGCTGACCAATTGGTTTTCCAGCTTCTTTATCAAAGAGTGTCTCTCCGAGAGCCCTTGCAGTTTCCTTTACAGGCCCCATTCCTTCGCCACCTCCCATGAGCAGAACTGCCGGCAAGTCAGGGTCCATTTCGAGTTCTTCTCTGAGTGGATCCTACACAACCGCAAATTAGAGGGTGCGAATAAAGGCACAATGAATAAAATTCAGTAACCAAGCACTCAATATTGAACCTTCATTCATACAAATACATTCTCAGACGTGTAAAGTTGCAAACACACAACACTACACACCTTGGAGAGAACCGCTCGAGCAAAAGAGGGCCGGATGGGCAGGCCAAAGACCTGTATTTGAGACTCGTCAAGGCCATCTACTAGCGCCCTTTTCGCTACCTCCTGCGAGGGGCAGTAGCACCTATTGACACCAGGATGAAACCATGTAGGATGGCAGGTGTTGAGGTCTGTGATAACCGTCACGAAAATCACCTTCTTCTGCAGGCCTTGCCATTTGAGCACCCACAGAGGAATATGTTGCATCAAAGGATGCACACTGATTATGATGTCCGGCTTGTACTCCATTAGACCAGCCTCCACCTCCCTTCAGTTAAAATAATTCCCTAATCAATACTTAATAAACAAATCTAGGTAAAAATTAAGACTTTGTAAGTCGATCAGAATCGGATTCTCCACCCAAATCCCATCAATAATTCACAATTAGTTTAGTCTCTAACAATTGATTAGGTGACGAGTAGATGAGAAAAATCATTTCAAAGAAAAGATAGAAAATTAAAAGCACAGGTAAAAGTTGGAAATATACCTAAGAGTAATATCATACTTTATTAAACTTTAGTAGGAATATGTGACTAAAACTTTAGCTTCACTTGCAGGAGAAATACTTTGGTAGGAGCGCCCGATCATACCTTTTGCACGGCCCAGCTCTACCGAAGTTTCTCTCTACTTGCAGAGTTATTTATGGGGTTTTCGTTGAATTGAAAGCGAAAAGCAAAAGGGGGGAAGGGAACTTACTTGGCATAGTAGGCTGCAATGGCGGCGAGATAGGCGCTGTGGATCCATCGGGGAGAGGTGCCGTGAAATGCGACCTTCCACAGCTGCACATGCTTCACCATGAATTTGTACGATCTCTCCATGTCGTTTAACGGCCAACCTGTGTACTCTTTCCACACATCCTTCACAAATATCTGAAATATCAAATCGAATAAGCATCTCATGAATAATTGTAGAAACAGAGATTATAACATCAATAATTACTAAATCTAAATGTAATTAATTTTGGCAACATAAACTTGATCAAGAAATACAATAAAACATTATTAATTTTTTTTTATACAAGAAAACCATTAAATTATGAACAAAATGAAGGAAAAAGAGAAGAAACCACAAAAAAAATCTGGAGGGAAATCAAGAACCGAAATCGGCAGTTACCCTGTATTCATCGCCAAACTCCATGCGGAAGGCATCACGAATGGCCTCGGAGGAAGCGCGGTGGCCGCCGCCGGTGTCGCTCATGAGAATCAAGACGTTCTTGGTCCTCTCAGCTCCAATCTGCACGAGCTCCATCGTCCCCTCGTCCTCGTAGTAATCGTCATCACTCTCGTCGTTCTCGCACGCCTTGTGGTGGTTGTGGCGGTGGTGTCTCTGGCTGCTGTGGCTGCCGCGTTGTTCTTGAGGTAGCTGCTCAGGTAAGAATACCCGCCAACCCTCTCAAACACCTTCTCTGTTATTGATTTTCTCGGCGACTCCACCGTACATCATAATTAAATTACCAAAAAACCCACAGAGACTCGAACTTTAAGAAAAAACCCAATTGCCACCAACGGTCGGATTGGCTTTCCCGCAACCGGAAATGATGGTTTTCCGGCGGAGGAGAAAGTTTGGTCCAGAGAGAAACAGGGGAGGAAAGGGCGGTTATAAGCTGAAGGAATTAGCAACGATTTTTTGAAGATTTGGCGTTTTTTTGGGAGTTGTGAGATTTATGACGGCTGAGTTGGCAAATGCGTGGGGAGGTAGCTTTATTGGTATTTGGATGCTAGAATTATGCTTTGGAATTTTTGGGTTCAGGGGAATTTCCTAGCCGTCAGATTCAATTCGTTTTGTTTTGGTATGTTCCGATGAAAAAGATTCGAATCTTCACAAGGCTGGAACAGTGATTCTTTTTGTTTAACCAATAATTGCTTAGGTTTCGTTTCAAGGAGAAATTTTTATGTTCAGCCGTCACGACAAGACATAAAGCAACATTGTCCATGTATTTTGATTCCAAGGGTGTGTATGCAATGCATTGCTGTAACAGCGGTATGTCAAGCATTTGATTGCTCACATAAATTATGTAATGTAATTGTGTAATCAACCGTTACAATATTATACAATTGAATATATGTCTTCATACTACAACTAGCTAAGATCTATGATTTATTGTATGTTATATAGATATTGTGCTGATGCACTAAATTTCCGACTAAAACACACCATGTTATGAAAGGAGAAAAAGACCACATTTATGATAAGTTTGACGACGAAAAATCATAGCTTACTTTTATTCGAGCAAAGTAATAATTATGGGATTTTTTATTTCGATAGTGGGTAGGAGAATGTTGTTGTGTCAATCTTTGGGTGACTTTAGAAGCAAGGAACACTTCAAATTGAGGTAGATAATCTAAAAAATAGAGATGTTTACTTCTTAAAATAAACAAAAAAGAAGACATGAAAGAAGAATGTGAATTGAGATATAACTTAACAGTTAAAGGGATGCGTACGTGCATGCATCTGCAAGGTGCCAAATAAAGGGTTAGTAAGATAAGAAGCTTTGGAATTTAACCTAACAGTAAATAAAGCTGTCCAAATCTGGTTGAGTTTAAATCACAAATTTATAGAAATAATAGCAGCTAAGAGCAGCTGGTACCAGCCAGAGTTCTTGCTTTTCTCATCTTTGATAACTCTCTCATGCTTGGAAACAGCAGTTGGCAGCCTAGTAGCACCAGGTGGGAGCCATGAAAATGATGGGAAAATATATAGGATATCTTAAAGATAAGAGAGCAGAAAAGGACTTTACTTATAGAAGCACTTCGCCGAGAAGTACAGTAGTTTGACTGTTTGATTAAGGAGAAGAAATTGCAAGAGGAGTTGGACTTGGCGGAGGACCAAATTGAAACTCCGGTATAAGCTTAGGGACCATGACAGGAAACCCCTTTTTAGAGCATCTTCATGATCATGTTTTAATAATTAGAGTATAAATGTGTATCTTCTGATCACTGGTCGGTTTGAGAACAGAAGATGATGAAATACGATCCTTCCTCGTTTCTTCTTTCCAAGAGTTATACAGTTAGCATATGTATATACATATCTGTATGTGTGTGTGTGTATCATCTCTTTTGGTTTCTTTAGGGTAAAATGCTATTCACTTTTAAGAAATGCAGTAAAATATAACTGCTGTTTATGTTTGATTATTTATTTTGCAATGGAACATTTCTTTCTCCTTATTCTTTTCTTGAGATTTTCTATGGTACTCCGGAGTATAAGATACTTAGAATTTTTAAAGCGTTAGATTATAAGGCCTGGAATATGAAATACTCCGTAGCACCATAGACTCTTTGTATTTCTTACGTGGGAGAGTGATGTGCAGAAGCAGAAGCTTGCTTTGATGAGCTCATCTATATATTCAGCCTTTTGTTTTGGCCATTTTCTTATAGTGGAAGAGAAACTTGTAGTACAGTTTGGGATATTTGTGGTGGTCCTAAGGAGGTGGAGCCATTAGAGAGGGGAGGAAGACTTAAAGTGAGGAGAAAAAGTAAAGGAATGTCCATTTCTGCCTTTAGCTTGTATCATTTACTTGCTTTTTTAGGACACTAAATCGCGGCTGTGGCCATCAAATCGAGTGCTCTTGCATGGGGCAGTCTTATATGAAAAGAATTTCGTTAGGGCAACCTCATAAACTCATTCAAAGAGTCGGCTCTCATAAACTCAAATATAAGAAATTAAGAAGTCATGTTTTTTTTTTTTTTGGAAAGTTGTTCTACAGATGATGTGATCAAGTTGCTCTAATAAAGCCACTGTAAATGCTTATGCTTATTCTGAAATTGGAAAAAGATTATTGTGTACTCCTAGCACTGCTGATGGAAGTTGATGTCAAGTCTGAAGTCTATGTCATGAGTTCGACTCTCGTTAAATTAATTAGATTTTTGACAAGTCTTTATGTTGGATCAAAAAGTGGAATACAAGTTAACATTAATCATTATGGATGTAACCAATTTAATTTTAAATATTTGTTTTCTTTCCCCACCCCCACCCGTCTTTAGTTTCTTAATGGACCAACGCTAGCTTAATTGTGATGAGTATCTTTTGACGTCTTTAATTTTTAGAGAATATGTTTAATTTGAATGAGATTGCAACGATGAATGAATAATGTTCGTAGGAATTTTGGAAGGGTTGAGTATTTTCACACTTTTTAAAAACTTTTTACACACTTTTTCTTATTTCTAAAAATTCTTTTATATCACTAAAAGTATTTTGATTATATTTGACATAAAAATTTAAAAGTGATTCTCAATTCAAAAATGCATTTTATGGAAGAAACATGTGTTGTGTGGTTTTTTTAGAAAGCACTTGTATTTTTATTTAAATTTCTAATGCAAAGTTAATATAAGCACTTTTATTTGAGGTACTTCTAAGCAAAAGTCCTTTTTAAAGAAATAGTTCCAAACAAAGCCTAAGATTTCCGGTTTAGAAGTGTGACGGATTAATTTTGGAATGTAAAATCCTAATTCCCAAAATACAAGCCGAGGCCCAATATCTATGCTTAAATTTCTATCACACCCTTCTATGCTTTCAAGTCTTTTGCATCATTCACCTCTTTTATCGTTATTTCCAGATGGCCCCAAAATCTAGGGTTTTCATCACACCCTGCACCTCCTCCTCTGGTAACTGGTAAGCCCTTTCTTCTCCTCTCGCCTCACAGCTAAAAGTTCAATTCTTTATCCCAATACTGTCTTCCTGGTGAATTGGCAAAAAAAAAAAAAAAAAAAAATTCATGGAGTAGTAAATTAGTAACCCAATTCGACAAACGTTAGTGTTCTTATAATTCTGGAAAGTAATTTGAATGTTTGGGTTTTTCTGGGGGGCTAAAGTCATGATCTTGGACTTAGAATTCATGGGTTTTTAGAAAAAGGGGATTAATTGCTAGATTTTTCATTGGATGATCATCTTGGTTGGATTGCTTGACTTTTTAAACCTGTTTTCCGTTGACCAACCGGAAAATTTACCGATTTAGGAGTTGGGTTTTTGGTGATGGTGGGATCAGACGATAGCCAACATGCCATTTTCTGATAATTTGGATGCTATGCTGTTAAATTTAAGTGATTTTTTTTATTAGTAATTTTATGTAATATTTACAGTTCTCTGGTGTACTTCCATTGATGTTTTTAGCTGTTTTTTTTGCATTGTTTTGTAATGTATTGGTTGCTTGCCTGTATATGTTAGCAAAGCAGGCCCGTTGGGACGATGGTTTTTCGATATTGTATGCACACAAGCTCTAGTAAGTAGTTAATAGTATACGCATCGACAATAGTAACTGATAGTTTACAGACATATGTGTTAGTTTGATCGTGGTAACTTTGAGAGTAGTAGATAGTTTTGGGAACTGAATTATGGATTTGGCATATTTGTAAACTAGTTTTAATTCTTTTATTTGAATGCTTGAAGGTCCTTGTGATGGCGAGGACAAAGCTTATCCTCATCTGCCAGTCTGGTGGGGAATTCGTTGTAAAGGATGATGGATCCATGTCATATACGGGAGGAGATGCACAGGCAATAGATATCAATCATGAAACCCAATTTGATGATCTCAAGTTAAAATTGGCTGAGATGTTGAATTTGGAATATAAATCAGTGATCATGAAGTATTTTCTCCCTGGAAATACACGAACTCTCATCACTTTATCCAATGACAAGGCCCTGAAAAGGATGTATGAATTCCATGGGAATTTAATAACCGCTGATGTTTTTGTCCAGGGAAAAGAAGGTTTTGAGGTTGAAGCCTTAAACACACCAAAAAGGTACTTTCTATTGCGACTTCCTTGCTTTAAAGAAATGATGACATTGTTATATTGCCAATTTTGGCCTCTTTACTATAATTGAAGCATATTGGCTAGTAATTACAGCAATATTGTAAGTTTCTAAGTTTTTATTGCGTTGATAGCTTAAGTTCTCACTTGCAGGGCATGTGGGATGAAAGTGGCTGAATCTGTGAACCCTGTTGCAACCTTCACCGCTTCAGCTGCCACTTTACACGCTAGTCCTCTATCAAAACAACCTGCCTCTAACATGTCTGTCGAAGATTCCATTCCAACTGGTTCCATGTCTGCTACTGCTGATGCAAGTCCGCACAGCTTGGACATTTTTGATATGAACTGTACCCCTGCTGATACTGTTAAGAAGCGAAGATGCACTGCTGCCTGGAAAATTGGTGCCAATGGTCCTACCATTGGTTCTGTCACTGACCATATTTGGGAGAAAAGAAAACGTATGTCCAGGAAGAAGAATATTCCTAGCTGCAACATTGCTACAGAAATTGATGATGTGGATCAGAGGCAAGATATCCTTCACGGTAAAGATAGTAGTACTAGCAATGACCCTATCCAGGCTACTCTAGTGGAATCAAATGATGCTCCACCTGAACTTTTACTCAAATTATGGAAAGATGCTATCACTGGGATTGGGCAGGAATTCAACAGTGCTAAAGAATTTCGTGATGCGCTGCAAAAATATGCCATTACCCATCGTTTCATGTATAAGTTAAAAAAGAACGATACTAGCCATGCAAGTGGCAGATGTATAGCCGAAGACTGTTCTTGGAAATTTTTTGCATCTTGGGACATATCTGTGAAAAAGTTTAGGATAAAGAGTATGACTGAAACACATACATGTGAATCAGAGCTCTCAACATATTATCATCCAAAAAGAAGTTGGTTGGTTAGCATTGTAAACGATAGATTACTTGAGCGCCCACATCTCAAGCCTAAAGAACTTGCCAACATCATTCGTCAAGGTTTTGGGATTGCTGTGAACTATACTCATGTTTGGCGTGCAGTTGAGGATGCCAAGGAGAGACTTCTAGGTTCGTATAAAGAGGCATATGACCAGTTACCGAGATTTGTGAGAAGATGACAGAGGCAAATCCTGGCAGTAGTATTAAGCTTTTCACTGGTGATGAGAGGAGATTTCAGCACCTATTTGTGTGCTTTCATGCTTCAATACATGGTTTTCAGAATGGTTGTCGCCCTATTCTTTTTCTTGATGCTGCATCTCTAAAATCAAGATACCATGAGACTTTTTTGGCAGCTACTGCTTTGGCATGGAGATGACGGTCTTTGCCCGGTTGCATTTGCTATAGTAGACACAGAGAATGATGATAAGTGGCGGTGGTTTTTGGAGCAGTTAAGATCTGTACTCGCAACCTCTCAATCCTTAACTTTTGTCTTGGATAGAGAGAAGGGACTAAAGAAATCAGTGCTTGAAGTATTTGAGAATGCCCACCGTGGATATTCTATGCACCACCTTCTGCAAAGCTTCAAGAGAAACTTGAATGGTCCATACCATGGAGACGGGAAGGGTTTGTTGCCAATCTATTTTATGGCTGCTGCCCATGCAATCCGAATTGATGGGTTTAAAACAAGTATTGATCAACTTAGACGAGTTTCTGCCCGAGCTTATGCCTGGGTTCAGCAAATCGAACCAGAATGTTGGACAAATGCATTATTTAAAGGTGAGCACTATAACCATTTTACATCAGATGTTGCAGAGGCATACATCAAGTGGATAGAGGAAGTGCAGGAGTTACCCATTGTGCCAAAGATTGAAGCACTATGTTCTAAGTTGATGGAGTTGATAAACACTCGTCGAACAGATTCAAGTAAGTGGCCCACAAAACTTACTCCATCCAAGGAGGAAAAACTGCAACGAGAAGCTCGTTGCGCATATTGTCTTAAAGTCTAGTTTTCATCTGATACACTCTTTGAGGTTCACAAGGATTTGATCAACGTTGTGGATATTAGTAAATGGGACTGTAGTTGTCTGGATTGGAAGTCAACTGGTCTACCGTGCTGCCATGCTATTGCTGTCTTCAACTGCACTGGTAGGGATGTGTATGATTATTGTTCAAGATACTATAGAGCTGACAAGTATCGTTTGACGTATTCTGAATCCATAAACCCTGCATTGGCCCCTTTCGAGGCTTCGGATGGTGAGAAAACTGACGTAGAGGCAGCGCATGTGCTTCCTCCATTAATCTCCAAGCAACAAGAAAAGAAAAGCCAGGCCAAGACAGAGAGTGTGTTGGCAAGGACAGTTTTTTGCTCTAGGTGCTAGGATTCAGGGCATAATAAAAAAACCTGCAAGGAACCCGTAGACGGTCCTTTTTCAAGTATGGAGCTCATAGATGCTCTTATATCAAGCATGGACACCGTAGATGCTCCTTCATCAAGTATCGTCCCCGTAGATGCCCTTTCATCAAGTGTCGTCCCCATAGATGCCCCTCCATCAAGTATTGACCCCGTAGATGTCCCCCCCCCCCAATCAAGTATCGTCCCCACAGCTGCTCCTTCATCAAGTATCGTCCCTGTAGATTCTGCTCCGTCAAGTATTGACCATGTAGATGCTCCTTCATCAAGTATCGTCCCTGTAGATTCCGCTCTGTCAAGTATCGACCATGTAGATGCTCCTTCATCAAGTATAGTTCCCGTAGATCCTCCATCAATTATCTCTTGATGTAATCCTTGAATCATATTATCTTAGATGCTTGTTTGTACCGAATTCATGTAGAGTGGTAATCGACATTTTCTGAAATGGTCTATTTAACGAAAAATCACATTTTTACACTAAAAAGTCAAATCTGATACTATTCACTTTATCCTTTATTTTGTTCTTATCGTTAAAACTCAAAGTTTGCAAGCCTTTTTCATTAATTTTCCTTTTGAATTGTCCTGTTCCTGAAATATGTACTGGCAATTTGCTACAATGAAAATGTCTTAGGAATCTTGCTGTTCCAGCAAAAGCATATGTGCTTTGTTATTTCTTTTTCCGCTCCGGAGGATAACCGGGTGAAATACCGCCATATCTGTGTCTTTCGCATCACATGACTTTGCATAAAATATAATCGATCACCCGTTGCATGTGAACACATCATCGGCTTTCCAAGCCATTTATACCGAGAGAAATGACATCAACTAGAGTTTGTACATTACTCACAAAGCTTGATTCCTCTAACTTCTAGGGCATTAAAAACAGTCATTAGCTACTGAATACAAACTACACTTTAACATCGAAGTCCAAACCGAGAGTTTTCATCTGTCTATTCTTAAGAAAGCTTCCGACGAACCATCGGTGATTCTTTTATCAAGTAATCAGTATTAGGCTATCAATGGAGTCAAGTTAACAACTTTACAACCAACTTATGCCCACTCGAACCTTGAACGTTTGAACCTTGGGCACGCACAATGGACAAAATTAGGTGGCAGCATCTGTCTTCTAACATGTTTTGTGCTCGAAGCAGAGCCTTCATGAAATCATGGCTGCAAACATAAGTTGCCACGGAGTTCAAACTTCATTTATTCTGGGGTGGATGGCAGGCAGGCCTATATTTATTGGTTTCAATAGGACTCCTTGCGAGCGTGTTGTTGAAGACAGGTGTTCGCAAGAAAGTACAGTTTCCGCCTCAAAGGTTTCCGATATAAAAACCCAAATACTGTTCTCACCAACGCTACTCTCTTGAATCTTCAACCTTGGGCAATAATCCTGCGCACAATGGGCAGATGGGGGTCGTGTCTATCTTCAAAACTTGTTTTCTGCTCCAAACAATCTGCATGGTAAAGATGGCCGCAAACTAAAACTGCAACAACAGAGACTTCAGTCGAAGACAGCGTGCTACCGAGAAAGAAAGGTTTACGCCTAAACAGCTTGTCACAAATCCCACATACCATCTTCCCTGGATCTGGTGATACAGCATCCGTTGCCAAGAACCTAGATCTAATTCTGGCTGGCCAAAGAAAAGGCTTTTCCTTGGCTTCTGGGGAGAAATTGAAATAAGTAAAGTCAATTCAGCGAAAAAAGATCCGACAGCATTCTTTGAGAAAAGTCATGCTCAAGGAAATAATCAGAGAATCGAACATATAGTCATCCAACTACAAAAGAAGCAAATTCCTATACTCCTATCCGACGACATAGGAAATAATACTAAAAAACATAAGCTGGCTACATGTGCCCTATTCATCCATGTAGCATACAAGAGTTCTCGTTGTCTTCATCTTCCATAAAAACTAAAAACCTCATGAAGATATTTTGAAGTTGAACAAAATAAGGAGAAGAAAAGGGGGCAATACAAAATAAAACCTGAATGACGTCTGGACTCGGAGCTGGATTGAGTAGCCAACTTATAGGAGAGCTTATCGTCATGCAAAGGCACTCCTTTTCCGCGAGAAGTTGATGTGTTAGCAAGATTGCCTGAGGTACGTCGAGAGTATTGATGCGCATAGTGATGACGTGAGCGTCTAAGGAACATTGATCGCCCAAGGCTTGGATGATGCTGTGTAACAGAAGGGTATGGATTTAGTAGCTTCAAACAAAGATCAAAATAGAAATAACTGTTTCTCCCAATACATGAAATAGGAAGAAATGTAAACACAGTTGCAAAATGTCGATCAAAAGGGGTTCATTAAAGCTACAAATTCATCAAAAACTCAGTATACAACGTCGATGAAACACGAAACACGAATAAGAAAGGAAAGAACAGCTAACCTCTTGTGTTAATAAATCCATTCCAGAAGAACATGGCATGGTATCTGCAATATCCCAAAAGACAAAACCAACAAATAAATACATGGCAATAAAAATTCACTTAAATAGTTTTCCAAAACAATCAAATTCGCTATTTTTCGATCGAATCTTTTGTTCTGACGCTGTAAATGCCAACAAAACACGCACAAAATTGGCAAAAAATTGAACTTAAATTCCAATCCGGCTTTTTTTTCTAAAATATCTAACTAAGAAAACAAAAACAAGTAATTGATCAACCAACAAACAATTAATCATACCAAATGGGAAAGTAAAATAACAAAGAAACCCAATAATTTTGTAACATTTGGATAAAAGGATTATCATAACCACACCAAATTTTGGGTTTTATAAACAAATAACAAAGGTGGAGTCTTTTCATAATTCAGTGATTGCCCTTCAAAAAAGTTGATTTCTTTTGATTAAATTTCTTTGTTTCATCGCATTTTTATGAAAAATTGGGAAGAAAAAAAAAAGATTAATTACCCGAAGAATGAGGAGAGAAAGATGGAGGGCTGTGATCATCAGAGGGGAGCTTCCTCTTGCTCATAGCAATTGATTGATCAGATGAAGGAAAAGATTCTGCGTTGGGGTTTTAGTTCGATCTGTGGCTTTGCGGTCTCAGCGGACAAACACTCTTGCTTTTCTTCTCCAACTCAAACGCACGGTCACCAAATGTAAAGCAAATGCAATCGAACCAACCCCGTGAGCGAGAGAGTTTGTGTGTTTCGGCAGCTTCCGGTGTGGTGAGAGGTTAAGTGATGAAGGGAACACATGCACTGCAGAACCCAACCCACATTTCTTCTTTAATGACCACTTTAATCCTTCCAATCATTTGCCATTTCTCAAAGGAATAAGGGATAAGAAATTTAAGAAAATTTTATAATGCAGATTATGACAGCAAAACTACGTTATCACAATACAATACGGATAATCATAATTAGGTATTGAAATTTATACAATACTTTATGTTATTTTTGTAAATCCTTCTTTATAATACGGATAATCATAATAAGATTTGCAACCCCACCATTAGTCTCGTGTTTTTTAGATTACTATCCACATTGTTAGGCGATATAACCATAAAACTATAAATCTCACTTTGCAGCGTTTAATAGAACTTGACAAAAACAATTCTTGGTTGTTTTTTTTTAAGAACATGAAATGCTAATTCACAATAATATTTAGATTATTATTTTTGTGGGTGTAAAAAGAGGTCAAGGGAAAATTATAGGTTCAAACTCGATATCTAAATTGCAATGGTGGTTGAAGGCCCAAGGGTAGATCGAATGGAGTTTTAACGAAAAGCTCACGGTACTGTTTACTTTAATAAAAAATCACATTTTTACATTAAAAAGTCAATCATGATACTATTCACTTTACGCTTTATTTTGTTTTTATCATTAAAATTCAAAGTTTTCAAACTCTTTTCATTAGTTTTCCTTAGATCGAATCCTCGAAACTGAAGCCTCCATCATCGGCCTAAGTGGACTTCATAGGTTGAATGAAGACCAACACAAATGTGGTATCCGACGTACTACATGCACCTTGCATTTCTATCGCGTGGTGATATTTGACACACTAAAAATTAGAATAAATTACATAAACTACCTCAACTATTAGACCAGTGACAGTTTTATACTTTATTTTTAAAAAATGTCAATGTCATACTTCATCTTACGATTTTGTTACAATTTCATACCTTCCGTCAATTTGTCTGTCAATCTTCCGTTAAATAGTGATGTAGCTTAACACGTGGCTCACTTTCTATTAAAAAATTAATAAAATATTAAAAACTAAAATAATAAAATCTTTTTTTTTTTCATGATAGACCCACCCCTTATCTCCCTCACCCTTTTTTCCCCATCCACCCGTGTTCCCCCCAACCTACCTTCAACGCCAAAAACCAGATACCCCCCTTCCGCCGTCGCCACCCTCTCTTCCTTCATCTCCATCTCCCTCCCATGACGCTCCTCCCCTCCCCCTCTTCCTACATACCCATCACCCTCACCAAATTAATCCCCGTAAATACCCCAATTCCACCAAAACCTTAACCCTAAATTTTGAATTTGCCTATTTCAAGGAAAAAAATGCTTCTGCATCTCCCCCAAGCGAATGGGCTGTGACATAAAGGAGCGCGAGCAAGTTCAGGGTGCAGGTCTGTAATCTTTTCGAAGGGAGTGCAAATTTTTCTTTGAGATCGCAGCTTAGCGGGTTTTGTGCAGGTCTTCGGTGGGTGGCTGTAGATGGGTTGCTGAGACAGGTTTGTGCAGGGGTGGCTGCAGGTAGGAACTTTGGTGGTGGAGGGAGCTGAGAACGTTGTCGATTTGCAGGCATTTAGGGTGTCGGGAAGTCGTCGAAAGAATTTGAAGTTTTGGGTTTTAATGGCGGGCTTAAGCGTTGGAGGTTGAAGGGAATGGCTACTTTGATTTCCAAGACACAGCAAGTTCAAAGCTTGCTGTGATTTTGGGTTGAAGGTTGCAGAGATTGCTAAGGGGTGGGGGGTTGAAGGTTGCAGAGATTTGGGGGAAAGGGACACGGGTGGATGGGAAGAAAGGCGTGAGGGGGGATAAGGGGTGGGTTCCCCATGCAAAAAAAAAAAAATTATTTTTTTAGTTTTTAATATTTTATTAATTTTTAATAAAAAGTGGGCCACATGATAAGCCGCATCACTATTTAATAGAAGATTAACAGACAAACTTACGGAATGTATGAAATTATAACAAAAACATAAGATGAGGTATGACATTGACATTTTTTAAGATTGGGTATGAAACTGTCATTGGTCCAATAATTGAGGTAGTTTAATGTAATTTACCCTAAAAATTATGTTGTGTTTTCAAAAATTTGTAATTACTCAAATCTAATAAAAGCCTTGTTTGTGGATGGATTTTACAAGCAATACTTGTTTGGGCTCCACATGGCATATGATAGAAGATCAAAGAGGAACTTCTACGACTTTCCACATAAGCACTTTTAAAAATTCCCTTTGACTCGACTACCTCACTTAGCATTCTGCTTGTCCGAAAGGGTAGTGCTAGGAAAATTACATTTATAGATTCAATTTGTAAATTAAATGATGTGTCACCAATAAGAAATAAGTACATTAATCAACGCTTAAGTAATAATTTAATCATTAACTTCTATGTCATTTTGGTTATAAAATCTAGTCTCCCTAGAATTATCACATCATGTGTAGTAATCTAACAGCTCTTTAGAGCATCTTCAAAGGAAATGTCAAAATGTACACATTAGCTATAACAGTAAAAAAAGACCACACTAATATTCTTCAACTGAAGTGTCAAATCCCATGTGGCGATGACATGGATTAGCAGCAAAAGAGGTTGCAATCAAATTTGACAGCAGCTTCAAATTTTTTTTTATTAATTATTAAATGTATTTAATTAGTTTAATCATTTATTATAATTAATGTTAAGTTGACCAATACAATTATCCTACTTTTTTCTTATTTTCAATCAAAGAAGGTGAACAAATTACTGATTAAACTTTAAATGTCCTTTATTAAATTTTAATTAGTTTAATAATTTATTTTATAAAATAATAATTTAATTTGACATATCGGATACTCATACCCATAACCGTGTACCCATTTATTCATAACCGTTTACCCATTTAACCATAACAATTTACCCATTTTTGAACCCGTTTATCATTTTTTTACCTATTTACCCATTTTCACCCATTTACATGTTTTTCGTTTTCTGACTAATTAAACACTGTTATAGGTACATTTTAGCATGCATTTCCCTACATTAATCATTTAAGTCCTCATACAATTCCAATAATTGAAACAATAGTTTATGAAGACATTTTTCTGCTACACCCAAGCAAGTTTTTTATTATAATCTATATGATTACAAAGTAAAGCTTCTAAAAACAAAAAGTAGTCATTATCTTTAATACTAGATTATTCAAAGCTCTAATATATTATGAAACTAAATACTTTTAAACACAAATGCTTTAGTATGAAATCGGAAGGGTAAAACGCACCTTGGGTGAGGAGAGAGTGATGAGCGGTGGAGATGAGAAAGAGATGAATGGCGAGAAGTGAGAGATAAGCGGCGTAGATGAAAGAGAGGGCGGCGGAGATGAGAAAGGGCAGCAAGGAGGGATATATCAGCGGGGGACGGGACGTTTAAGACTCTGAGTCTGGCGGAAATATTGAAAATTTAGGGTTTTTAATTTTTTTTTTAAATTTTACATATATTAAATTAAATAGGAAAATGGATACCCGTATAATCGCAGGTAATACCCCATAACCAATGGATACCCATTATAATCGTGGGTAATACCCATAACCGCCCATTTAAATTTCACGGATAAACAGTTATACCCATAACCGTTTGTTCGTCTAAACAGTTACCCATAACCGTAACCGTGAACTTTAAATGGGTGGGTAACCGCAGTTACCCAAACTGTAACATCCCACATCGCCCAAGGGAGTGATCCTTAAATGTATATTCTCATCCCTACTTAGCACGAGGCCTTTTGGGAGCTCACTGGCTTCGGGTTCCGTAGGAACTCCGAAGTTAAGCGAGAAAGGGGCTAGAGCAATCTCATGATGGGTGACCCACTGGGAAGTTGCTCGTGAGTTCCCAAAAACAAAACCGTGAGGGAATGGTAAGCCCAAAGCGGACAATATCGTGCTACAGGTGATGGAGCGGGCCCGGAAAGTGGTCTCCCCGGGCTGGGATGTGACAATTTGGTATCAGAGCCTAACCCTGGCCGCGTGTGTGCCGACGAGGACGTCGGGTCCCTAAGAGGGGTGGATTGTGACATCCCACATCACCTAGGGGAGTGATCCTTATATGTATATTCTTATCTCTACCTAGCACGAGGCCTTTTGGGAGCTCACTGGCTTCGAGTTCCGTAGGAACTCCGAAGTTAAGCGAGAAGGGGGCTAGAGCAATCCCATGATGGGTGACCCACTGGGAAGTTGCTCGTGAGTTCCCAAAAACAAAACTGTGAGGGAATGGTAAGCTCAAAGCAGACAATATAGTGCTACGGTGGTGGAGCGGCCCGGAAAGTGATCCGCCCCGGGCCAGAATGTGACATTTGGTATTAGAGCCTAACCCTGGCCGCGTGTGTGCCGACGAGGACGTCGGGCCCCTAAGTGGGTGGATTGTAACATCCCACATCGCCTAGGGGAGTGATCCTTAAATGTATATTCCTATCCCTACTTAGCACGAGGCCTTTTGGGAGCTCACTGGCTTCGGGTTCCGTAGGAACTCCGAAATTAAGCGAGAAGGGGGCTAGAGCAATCCCATGATGGGTGACCCACTGGGAAGTTGCTCGTGAGTTCCTAAAAACAAAACCGTGAGGGAATGGTAAGCCCAAAGCGGACAATATCGTGCTACGGTGGTAGAGCGGGCCCGGGAAGTGGTCCCCCAGGTCGGGATGTGACACAAACCCATGGGTATTTTGCCCATCCCTAATTGCAACGAAAAGTCTCCAACGATTTCTAAGTAGACAAGTTTCCAATGATGACTCGGGTGCAATAGCTACTGAAGTGTTATTTGAGACCACATAACCTTGTCTGAAGTTGCAAGATTGGCATGGGAAGAGCCTTGCTCCTTGCTCTTATGTGCAAGTTTGTATTTTGACTTATGGGTAATGTTAGGGAGGTAAAATTTGTAGACAAAATTTACAAACTAAACGATGTGTCACCAATAGAAATGAGCATGTTTATTAATGCTTAACTAATACTTCAATTGTTAATTTCCACATCATTTCGTTAAATAAATTTTATCTACAAATTTAGTCTCCCAACAATATCCTTAGGCTTATAAATCTCCAACATAATGGGTGCTGATTCAAAATCACCTGAATTTATAGAATGAGGATCCTCTTTGTGAGGATTCTGGAGATCCTCAAATTGTGTATGTTCATCGTACATCGTGCAGTAAGAAATCATTTTGAATACTTTTGTTTTAAATTAAATATAAATAGTACCTGACGAAAATTGACCGTACGATATACGATGAACCGACAAGATTTGAGTATTCCCATAATCCTTATAAAAATGATCTGGAGAGGATCCTCCTGGGAATTTATATTCAATTAGTCAACCACAAAAAAATAGTTAACTCACATGTAGTGTTTAATTTCTCTAGGAACACATGTATAATTAAATAGTAAAAACAGTACCTAGAAGTGATTGAATAACAACACAAGCTGCCAACTGTTCAGCCTCTTTCTTGCTTTTTCCAACATCCCCAGTATAAATTTTGAGATGTTCTGGGACGCATCATTGCAGTAAAGTCTTTGGAGGATATAATGATCGACAATGAGAGAACGGAGAAAATATGGGAGGTTAAGTTGCAAAATATCAGGTAAACAGTTTATCCAAACATCTAAATTTCTCAAAATTGCTACACATCTTATTCAAAATACTAATTTTTTCTTAATATTCATTCACTTAGGAAAGAAGATGTTAACCTGACATTGTGGGGTGACACTGCAAAGACCTTTGATTTCAAAGCTCTGGAACACTGCCACCACCAATTTTGGGTGTTTTTACAAGCCTTAAAGTTAGACAATTTAGAGGTATGAAATTTATCAGTTCTATTTTCAATTGTTCATATTTATTGTATAAAATAATGATTTAATTGCTCATCTATAAACAACCAAGAAACATTGTGCTAAACAACAGTATTTCCACAAAGATTTTCATCAATCCAGACATTCCCGAGGCAACACCTTACAAAGCAATGTCAGTTCCTAAATTTCAAATACTTTAAAATATTTTTTTCATGTTTAAATTGAGTATGAGGGAAAAAAATATGGATATACCTGTTTACTAATGATATGCATATAAATATGAAACTGTTATTTCAATTAAACACATCTGGAAATACAATGTTTATATATTTATTTTAGTTTACATGTTTCTATAATTAAAAAGGCTATGATCTAGCTTTTTTTGAGTGTAAGTTTGATCAAATAATTTGCTACAACTACCTAAAATTGTACATTACAAAGTAGCAGACCTTTTTTATAATATTGTGAACTTATGCAAGCTATGTGCAAACTTGGAAAGGTTTGTCAAGTTGATTAGAATTGTTTAAAAATGGGTTGTTGCTGCTGTACAGTAGATAAGGTGGAATTTGTTTCCCTGTAAGGTCAAAATATTTGATTTTATAAACACAGGCCATGATTGTATATGCATTACATAATGATGCAATAAATCTATAGAAGTATGAAAATTATTCTTTCAAATTTTTGATGGTATAATATTTTAAATTTTCTTTTTCAATTGATAAATGCTTAATGAATAATACGTTAGTATCTGTTCATGGTTTGGATTCTTATACTATTTTATTTAAATAAAAAAATATATGCAGCTTTGTTGGACTGGCTCATTCTGTAAAAATGTTGTCAACATCAGCAAGGCAACTAATAGGATCTAAACAATTAGAAAACGCTGAAAAAATGTATGTTCAGGATCTGAATATTTTGGATCCAGATTTGTACAAGGTAATCAAACTTTTCTCAATGTTTTAGAAATCAGATATGTGCACCTGCTGTGATACTAATATGCATCGTTTATTATTAAATGAATTATATTCCTCATATGATATATGACAAATTAGTTAAGTACATATCATTCTTAGATATCCATATATTAATTACTGTTTGTAAATATATTTCAGAGCACTTCAGTCTTATGTAGAGCAGCTGTTACATGTTTTGACACGCATGATGGATGGTGGTACAAAGCATGTCCATGCTGCTACAAACAACTCAGAAAGAATGAAAATAATGACATGCTAATTTGTGTAAAGCACAATGTTCCAACTCCCTTTCCCTGGTAAGCCAAATGTTTATAACGAATTTCATAATATTTAAGTACCCTTTCCTGGTAAACCAAATGTTTATAATTAATTTCATAAGCTTTATACTTAAATATTGTTCTTCAGATACTTAGGTTCAAAGTAAATTTAATCCTCGAAGACCCAGCGATGAGACCAGTGCTATCATCATTGGTAAACCGGCTGAATGCTTATTTGGAACTTCATGTTATGATTTAGTTGTCGAAAAAGGTTTATTGATCAACAAGAGCTACCATATGCAATTCTCCAATGTCAAGGGCAGATTAAAAATTTTCAGCTTCGATTTGGAAATTTGAAAAATGATTGCAACATAATGATCTTTTGATCCAAGCGATTTTCGACAACAAAATACAAGCTTTTCAATCAAGTTCCAAAGCTTCTTATGAATCACTGGCTGAATTTGAGGAGGAAGATACGACAGCTCAGAATTTTTCATCTACCCCACCACTTTTTGATAAAGAGTTAAAACATATCTCTTCCACCATTTCACCCGCTGTTGTCACACCATTGCCTACAAAAAGTTCAACTCGGAAGAGTCTTTTCAGCTCTGAGAATAGAAAAAAACAAAAAGGTAAGAGTTTTCACTATAACTATCTCATTTGTATTTATATTTTCAAATAACATGATATTTACTAATGTATTAATCTCTAAACATGATGTTGCTACTTTGCTCACATTGATTAGCCGTTCATTTTGCACTTGTATTTTACTAACTCTATGTTAAAAGTTCTATGTACAACAACAAAAAAAAAAAAAAAACAGATCTGAACGACTTTCAAGTCCCAAATATATACAGTTTCAAAAATTGCCCACATGGTTCTATTTTTCATGTTGCTTCTCTGTCTTTGGGCTCATCAAAAAAATCTTCCATTTGTTCTGTATAGTTACAAAGAACTTCAGTCATCATTGCACTTGTTCTTGCTGTAAATTGAAATTACATTCCTTGTATAAGCAATATGATAAAAAGGACAATTAACCAACAAAAATGTAATCTAGTGTGAGAATTGTAGCAAACACCCTTCATAAATTAAACTTAACAATGACTGATAGTCTGATATTGGTTAAGGTAGATAGTCAAACTAATGTGTTCGCTACTTTGCTCTTTTTAAATTTGAATGGATCATAATTCTCTTTGTAGAAAAAGAACCTATACGAACCAAATGTTTTAGAAGCTTTATCAAAATAAAAAATAATAAAGAAGAATAAATTCTTATTTTGCTTTTCTGGGAAGAGCCAAATGTTTCAGTATTTGTTAATTGTTAATATTTGTTGTGACCTTTGTGCGAATTCCAAGTTCAGTAGTTACTTATGGAATAAATGGACAAAAAGGAAAATTAACAAATTCCGCCTATCCAAGTGCAACTCTAAACAAATATAAATTTAAGCATTTGAGCTTTTTCTTATGTTTTCACTAAGTTCGGAACCTAATAACAAAATTTCATCCCAATAGTCCTAACCACAAAGTAAAACCGTACTTATAGGACCTAACTAATAGTTAAAGCATTAATAACAAATAGATGTAACATACTGGGTTTTGGAAGCAGTAAACACTACTTCAGATTTGCTTGGAGACACCTTGTTCTTGAGATATTTGATGGGAAAATCTTCAGTGTCCGCAGCATTTTGTTCATCTATTTCTTCGGTAATTTCAATTTCCCTTAAATCAATATAAACAGAAGAGAGATTAATACATTAGTAAATATCATGTTATTTGAAAATATAGATACAAATGAGATTGTTACAGTGAAAACTCTTACCTTTTTTGTTTTTTTCTATTCTTAGAGCTGAAAAGACTCTTCCGAATTGAACTTTTTGTAGGCCATGGTGTGACAACAGTGGGTGAAATGGTGACAAGAGATATGTTTTAACTCTTTATCAAAAAGTGGTGGGGCAGATGAAAAATTATGAGCTGTCGTATCTTTCTCCTCAAATTCAGCCAGTGATTCATAAGAAGCTTTGGAATTTGATTGAACAACTTGTAATTTGTCGTAAAAATCGCTTGGATCAAAAGATCATTTCTGTTGCAATCATTTTTCAAATTTCCAAATTGAAGTTGAAAAATTTTAATCTGCCCTTGTCATTGGAGAATTGCATATGATAGCTCTTATTGATCAGTAAACCCTTTTTCGAAAACTAAATCATAATATGAAGTTCCAAATAAACGTTCTGCCGATTTACCAATGATGATAGCACTGGTCTCATCGTTGGCGTCTTTGAGGATTAAATTTACTTTAAACCTAAGTATATGAAGAACAATATTTAAGTATAAAGCTTATCAAATTAATTATAAACATTTGGTTTACTAGGAAAGGGTACTTAAATATTATGAAATTCGTTATAAACATTTGGCTTACCAAGGAAGGGGAGTTTGAACATTGTGCTTTACACAAATTAGCATGTCATTATTTTCATCCTTTCTAAGTTGTTTGTAGCAGCATGGACATGCTTTGTACCACCATCCAGCATGCGTGTCAAAACGTAACAACTACTTTACATAAGACTGAAGCGCCTTGAAATATATTTATGGACAGTAATTAATATATGGATATCTAAGAATGATATGTACTTAACCAATTTGTCATATATCATATGAGGAATATAATTTATTTAACAATAAACGATGCGTATTGGTATCACAGCAGGTGCACATATCTGATTTCTAAAACATTGAGAAAAGCTTGTTTACCTTGTACAAATCTGGATCCAAAATATTCAGATCATGAACAGACATTTTGTCAGCGTTTTCTAATTGTTTTGATCCTATTAGTTACCTTGCTGATGTTGACAACATTTTTACATAATGAGCCAGACCAACAAAGCTGCATATATTTTTGTATTCAAATAAAATAGTATAAGAATCCAAACCATGAACGGATACTAACATATTCATTAAGCATTTATCAATTGAAGAAGAAAATTTAAAATATTATACCATCAGAAATTTGAAAGAATAATTTTCATACTTCTATAGATTTATTAAATCACTATGTAATGCATATACAAGCATGGCCTGTGTTTATAAAATCAAATATTTTGACCTTACAGGGAAACAAATTCCACCTCATCTACTGCACAGCAGCAACAACCCCTTTTTAAACAATTCTAATCAACTGGACAAACCTTTCCAAGTTTGCACAGAGCTTGCATAAGTTCACAATATTACAAAAAAGGTCTGCTACTTTGTAATGTACAATTTTATGTAGTTGTAGCAAATTATTTGAAGACCGCCAAACGTATTATCTTTTCCTAGCAAATTATTTGTAGCAAATTCTTACCATTTCGTCAACCAATATACATTGAAGACCGACAAACATATTATCTTTTCCTATAACCTTAGGTCTCCAAATTCTGCATCCACGGACTCTGATCTTCTTATTAAACTCAAAAGGTAATAAACTTCGGATAGGATCTATCTTCATTCCGCTACAAAACTGCAAGTAAATTTACATGGCATTAGATGTCAGTCGCCCGGGGCGTTTGTTTTATTTTCTTGATCACCTTTAAAATAAGAGTGTGGTATACATTATTTATAAATGTAGAAATCTAAAATGATAATACACAGAAAGAATGAAACAGAGAAATTGAGGATGAAATTGAGCATGAAATAAGCGGAAAGAATGACACAACAAAGTTCTAAAATGCTAATACTTGCACAATAAACAAAATAGCGGAACGAATCAGCAAGCTATAACTTCAAGGACTACTAAAAGCAAACAGTCACTGTCCTATAGGACTTGTGCCTTTATTGAATAAAAAAAATACTATTCATAACATACTCAATTTGTTTTCTTAATATTTTGCTCTATTCATTACATATATGATCTGGTTTTGGTGTGTGTAGTTTCACAATAATCAAGTGTTTGAGAATGTTTAAAGTATTTGTTCGCGTAAAACGTCCAAAACATATAGACTGAGGGCAGGATCAAACCAACTAATTGACAATAATTAATCCATCATCATTTAGGAGCACATACTCAATTAACATATGAGCGCAGATCGATCCAGTTGGACTTGACTATCCGAGGACTTCAAATCCTGCTGATCACATATCATCCATTTGTTAAGAGTTGTATATATAACTATTATATAAACCAGAAATTATAAATTGAGGACTTTTACTCTGTAATCTATAGTATAACTAATTAGCTTGGAAAGATGGAGAAGAAGGTGAACGCTACCTTGTTTTGTTTTCTGGTGAACGCTACCTTCATCTGCAACTGACTGTAATCAGTGAGATTGATGCACCAAGACTAAAGCAAATAATATGGTCAAAATAATACGATATCGAAAAGATGAATTACGAACAACTTCAATAAAGAAACTAATTGATTCAAAACATAAAAATCTTACAAACCAACACAACCATACATTTGATTCCCAAACAGAACCCAGAATCTAAAATGGTAAAAATGGTAAGGAATATTGCGGATTACCGTCGACTTGCTCGATCGCCTTCACCAAGCTCGCGTGATCGTACAGATCACACTGTAAACTTAAAAAAAAAAAAAAAACACACACACACACACATGAAACCAAAAATAATTTCAGGGAAATTGATAGATAACCAATTTTATTTGAAGAGATGAAGAGGGTAACCTGCTTTACTACAATTTACCTCTACCAAGTTACATGGATTATACTCATCCACCCATCTTGCCCGCTCTCATGGAGTTATCTTTCTTCAATTAATCTACCTTCGTTGGGCAACTATGATTGAGTTTTGGGTTGTGGATTTAAGATTTGTCTTTCGGGGAAAGGATGAGGATTCTAGGTTGGAGAAAGCAAAGAGCAGGGAGAAAAAGGAAGGTGCCCAAAAAAGCAAAACGATTCTAGGGTTTGATGGAGCCTGCAGCCAGTTGAAGGACGATTGAAGCGGTGGAAAGAAGGCAACGAACCCGTGAGAGAAGAAAGTTAAAAGGGAATGAAACCGTGAGAGCAAGGTTGAAGCGGTGGAAAGGATGAACACCGAGTCGAAGAGAGAGAGGGGAGAAGCAACGAGACCCACGCGTCCCATTGTTTGACAACAAAGCAATAGAAAAGGGCACATGAACGCGTGGGCAAAAATTGGAGGAATCACGAGGAACGATGTATGGAAGAGAGGAAAGACGTGATGAACAGTGGTGGGGAACTGTTCCAGATACATGATGTTGTGTTTTTTAATTATTTTTTTGGGGCTTTTGGATTTAGGTCCAAAAACATAGGTTATTTTTGGGACTGAGTCCAGTTATCCAATTACATATTTTGATATCAATTTTGCCCCTTCAGATAAAAATATTTAAATTCTTTAATTTTTTATCATTTATTCAGTTTTTAAATTTTGAATATTTAAATACTCAAACTAAAATATTATCTAGTAACTACCTACTATTTATGAAGAAAACAAAACTGATATAATTTAGTAACTACCTACCTATTGTATAGGAAGAAAAATGCTTTATACCTACAAAGTAGATATAATCTACCTGCAAAACAAAAATAAACTACCTATTGTATTGGAAGAAAAATGCTGGGAACCTATAGAAATATAAATATGATATAATATACCTCCATTAAATGAACGAATTTGGAGGGAAGAACACAAAAATATCACCCATGAAAAGAAGAGACAAAAAAGATGAGGATTGATAGAGGGAATTGTTTGGAAGAAGGAAAAAATGAGGGATGAAACGGATTGGGGGTTGATGGTGATAGACGCCCTCTCTTACAATCTATGCTCATCTTTTGTTTCTCTCTCTTTCTTTTTCCCCTTTCTATCCTTTTTTTTTTTTTTTTTTCTGCATGTTCCAGATTTTTGTTTTTTAATTATTTTTTGGTGGAAAGGCATGCATCATTGCTGCCATGTGTGGATGAGGTAAGGTTTTTAAATTATTTTTGGTGGAAAGGCATGTACCATTGCTGCCAGATGTGGATTAGGTAACAAAAAAACGCTGGAATCGAAAAGGGAGTTAGAAGACCAACACGTGTACATAAGGGGTAAATTAGTAAATGTACTGTACAACGGAAGGAAAAAGGTTGAAAATGCCTAACAACTGAAGGGCAAATCCATCAAATCACTGTTAATAAACAGCGTTAGCAAACTGAATTTTATTATATATAATTTCTCTAGAAACACATGTATAATTAAATAGTAAAAACAATACCTAGAAGTGATTGAATAACAACACAAGCTGCCAACTGTTCAACCTCTTTCTTGCTTTTTTCCAACATCCCCAGTATAAGTCACACCATTGATGCCCAAGAGTTGCAAGCTAATAGCATTTCTAATGTTGGAAGGCTCCCAAGGCAACTGCTTATTAAATCTCCTCCGTTGAATAGTAATTATTTTTAATGAATAGTAATTATCTTTTACATTCTTCCTTCTAAACTGAATAGTCACGACAATAGGCAGTAAAGTATTAGTATTTTTTATTTTATAAAATAATAAAAAATAATTTTATTTGTAATTTTAGATATAATTTTTAATCGGTCTCGTTGCGTCATGTGTCATTAAATAAGAAATTACAACCCAAAGTATTTGAGAAAATATAAAATTGTGGTGTAAGGTGGAAGATTATGATAAGTTATTTATAGAAAAATTAAATCAATTTTTTTTAAAAATTTTTTAGGATTTTTTATTAATTTTATAATGTGGTTAACATCAACCTTGCATCAACGCTCTCACGCCCTTGGACAGTTGATTCCTAACCCCCCCTCCCATGGGCCTGCCCCTAGCCCAATTGCCCGCATGGGCTGGAGCAAGGAAGGCTGGCTATTGGGTTTTTTTGGTCCCCTATCCTCCGGGCTATACCCTCCGGTGAACTTGCTCTAATTGACAAAACAAGTTTTTGAATAATTCAAAGAGTATGTTAAAACAAAAAATTTGTACCCAAACTGAAACTTTGAACATAGAAAACCAAACCTCATGAATAGGAGGAACTTCATCGTTTATATTCTCTGTTCCTAGCAAATGTGTTAGGAAACTCCATCCACCAACACGGTCAACCTAAAAATTGATGGTGCGTTTCGATTTCCTTCATTGAAAGTCTGATAAACCGGAAGCGGGAAGCCTGCTCCCTGGGCATATTCATGCAGCCGATTTTTGCACGTCAAGTGGTTTGATAGGCCCACACGAACTCAAATGTATAAGAACTACCAAAGGTCCAATCTTTTGCAAGTAAGTTAATAGAAAACAATTTCAGCATGTGAAAGTAAAAGCATGTTTTCTCATGCACATTCAAAGACAACATAAAAAATGTGATACTTTAGCCCAGCTAACTTTTTTTTCATTTATTTACTCTATTGACCATTACTATTTATTTCTTAAACCAAATCTATTTTACACAAAACACAAATATATCTATAGTAACCATTTGTGGTATAATCGTGACAATAATTACTTAAAACAAGACTTCATATATTTTTAGGCCTAATTGGATTAATGGTCCAGTGATGCTAAGGTAGTTGGAAGATAGTCCATGTGGTGAAAAAACTAGGATTTGAGCCCATGTGGTAAAGTCTGTTAGGATTTATGCCCAAAATTAAAAATTTCGTCAATTTTCCATTAATTATTAGCACGTGAGCCGCACATATTAGGCTAAAATGGAACTCTCCATACACATATTAGGCTGAAATGGACCTCTACGTTAATTGTTAGCACGTGGGGCTGACTCACGTGCTGATAATTAACATAAAATTGACGAAATTTTTAATTTTGGGCATAAATTCTAACAGACTTTATCACATGGGCTTAAATCCTGATTTTTTTATCACATGAGCTATCTTCCAACTACCCTATTACCACAGAAACTATTAATCCAATTAAGTTTTTTTTTTATTCTTTGAGTGATTTCGACGACGCCGTTTTGCATGTTAAAACTCCAAATTTCCTAGTAATTCCAAATGAAAAGTAGTACATGAAAGGAAAGGTGCATTCTCGCGGTTAGTTCATCTCATATAGAAGGAAATCAAACAAGTTTTGCTAAAAATCATTTTTTTCTCAACGCGTGTTTTGTTTTGAGACCTGATATTAGATCTCCACCGTTAACCCTCTCTAGTCTCGTCTCCGTTTCATTAGTCTCTCTCTTGAACTCAAACACTCGAATAAGCACCCCACTTATGAAAGAGATTTTTTTTTTTTCGTTAACCTTATAATTGGTGGTTTTTTAATGTACAAACATAATATCTAATTTAGCTTTTATGTTTATAAATATGCATGTGGTTTTTTTTTTTTCCAGGAAAAGAAATGCATAAGAGAATGTTTCCCCCATCTAAAAGTGAAATGTCACTAGCATTACGGTCTATTGGTATTACTTTACATTTGGAAGTGAGAGATTTTATGTTCGAATCTCATGAATAGCGAATTTGATACCAAATTGGGTTACCAATTATGTGGCTTTACCGAACTCCCTATTCTCTTAATGTAAAAAATATCGATGTACTCCAAAAAAAAAAAGAAAAAAGTGAACTGAAAACCTGTGATTGAACTTGGAGCAGGGTGTGGAGTAGTTGGGCTAGGTGAGTTTCTTTTGTTTCTCTCAAATTATACCACGTTTAATCTATATGGCTTTTTATGCTATTCGTTATCGGTTTTTCTCTCAGGCATGGCACTACTGGATGTGTGACGTCGTTACGACAGATCAAGTAGAGGTTTTGCCTTTGGGATGAGAAAACATGGAATATGCAATCTCACGATTAATATAAATAATATTTATATTTCATATATCTTTGTAAGGAACAACAGAACACGTGAATGTAACATATGTATATAAACTCTACTCCTTAACATTTAAAGTCATGAAGTAGGTTAAAATTGTTGATTTTCCAAATGTGAAAAATTAGAATCTCTTATAGTTTTTCTATATCATTTAGATTAAACATTTGTGCCTTTTTAAATTTTGATTAAGTATTTTGACCTATAGTCATTTATATTTTTTAAAATTAAAATAATTTATGAATTTATCGTTTTATTTGCATGATATACTTTTCCTTATTTAGTGGAGATATTAGTAATTAAACTATATTTTCTCTTCTTCCAAATATGTTTTTTCGATCACAATTTTTTTTTTTTTTTGTTATGAAAACACTTAATATTATTTCTTTTTCCAATTGGTTTTTCCTTTTTTTCAAATAGTTGGTGATCAACATAAAAGCTCCGTGTATTTTTTTTGTGAAATTATATTTTTTTTGCTGTTTTTTTAAGTATAGTTGTTGACGAATTATTATTAGGTACAAATATATTATCTTCGGATACGTTTGAATTTACAAAAATCATTAATTGGTATGTTTATTTGCAATTTTAGTACGTTTGATTTGATACATATTGTTAATATCGGTACATTATTTTTATTTCGGTACGTTTTATTTTGTACACATTGTGTATTGGTACGTTTGTCACATCCCGGCCCGGGGTGGATCACTTCCCGGGCCCGCTCCACCACTGTAGCACGATATTGTCCGCTTTGGGCTTACCATTCCCTCACGGTTTTGTTTTTGGGAACTCACGAGCAACTTCCCAGTGGGTCACCCATCATGGGATTGCTCTAGCGCCCTTCTCGCTTAACTCCGGAGTTCCTATAGAACCCGAAGCCAGTGAGCTCCCAAAAGGCCTCGTGCTAGGTAGGGATGGGAATATACATATAAGGATCACTCCCTTGGACGATGTGGGATGTCACAACGTTTATATTATTCTCAATCCTATTTTCTCTTAACGTACTAAAAGAAAAAACTTATTTCGGTACGTTTGATTTTGGGGGATTAAAAAAATTCTAAACTATTTTGGAAAGAAAATATCTTAAATTGTAGATAATTATTGTGAAAATAATTTTGAATCTAACCAACACCTTTTTTTTTTTTTTTTTTTTTTTTTTACAATTATCTCTAACGGAGGAGAGTAATAAAAAAGCTAGATTATAGGAAATTTGTTACAATATAATGTGCATATAGCACCAATATAATGACAAAAAAAAATTTAGTCGAATCACTAAAAGGCATGGATGTTTGATCTAAAAAATTCAAAACTGAGGCTCATATATCAAAATATCCATTTCCAAATTCCCCTATAAAGCAGTTAAAGTTTCATGCTTTGGCAATTCCCTTCGAATCTCAGCCCATCCTACTTTAAAATCCTAAATCCGTGCTTGAAGGCATGGTTGCTACAATACGAGATGATCTTACCATGTTACAACGTGATCATGTCCGTGATGGGAGATAGTAACGCACGAGTGTATTTAGTCGTTGACACCCTAATTCTTTGCCATGCCCATTTCAACATGCATAACAAGGCAGTAGGTAAAGTGCAAGGGCTTGCAAACACAAGGCCTTTATGCTTGGGCTGGGGTTTGGGCTTGAAGTTACTATCCACATTGTTAGGCGAGATAAGAATATAACCATAAATCTCACTTTGTAGCGTTTAATAGAACTTGACAAAAATAATTCTTGATTGCTTTTTTTAAGAAATTGAGATGCTAACTCACAATAATATTTACATTTTTTTTTTGGTGTAAAAGAGGTCAATGGAAAATTATAGGTTCAAAACTCTATATCTAAAGAGTAATGTTAAGGAGATTAAATTTATAGACAAAATTTGCAAACCAAATAATGTGTATGTTTATCAACGCTTAAATAATAATCCAATGATCAACTTCTATGTTATTTAGGTTACAAATTTAATCTCTCTCACCTTACCCATATCTAAATTATGATGGTGGTTGAGATCTAACCCTCAAAACTGAAGCCCCAATCATCAGCCCAAGCGGACTTCGTTGGTTGAATGAAGATCCACAAAAATGTGGTACCCGACATCAGAATAGAGTCTGAAGTTGAGTTGGACGACACACGTCTTGAAAGAAGGTTTAGTCTTTGAATTTGATAGTTATTTTTATTCCATTGTTATCGTCAAGCTTGAAAATAGTTCAAGAAAAAGAGATATAGCCGATTTCTTTATGGCTGACGCATAATAATCAAATACGACATTTTTTGAATTGCTAATAACAAAAGTATTTTCTTCGTGGGGCTCTACTACCAGTAGATTGTTATTTTCCCATGCATGCACTATCAAGTCAAATCTTGATAAAAGCACTTGTTTGTGGATGACATTTTTCACGCAAAACTTGTTTATGGGCTCCTCGTGGCATATGATAGAAGATCAAAGAGGAACTTCCACGACTTTCCACATAAGCAGTTTTAAAAATTCCCTTGACACGACTACCTCACTTAATCGTCCAGGTGTCCGGAAAAGTTTAGTTCTTAGAACTCAAAATGTTTGTTGTGTACGAAAAAGTTGATGCCGCTTTTGTCAAAGCTTCTTCCATAATCATGTTCATCTTCTTATCGGAATCCAATCTTCATTTCCATATTCATATTTTCAATTGTCATAGAGCTTATTACAAACAATAATTTATGTCTCAAATAATTATATTAAAACGCACATAACTTATACACTGTTGACATAAGAGAAATACGTTATTATTTTATAAAACTCATCTATACAGATATGGATGCGTCAATTATATATATATATATATATATATAAAGTAATAGTACTTTTATTGGTGTTGCAACAATCAACAAGAAGATTTAAGTGGGGTTTTGGTCTTTTTTTTTTTCTTCTCTAACAATCAACTCAAGCAGTTTACAGTATAATATTGTGAATTTGAATTATTTTACTGTCATTGCTAATTTCTTGACTTACAATCCAAATAATTAACTATTGGAAACCTAACGTTCACCAATTTTGCTTTGGATTTCTGTGGCAGAACTCCAAAGGGTTAGCAACGAGAGCCTTTCAGATGGATGTAAATTATGATGAATTATGGTGAGCCAAATCTATCGGAAATGGTGCAACTGCAAGGTGGTCCTTGAGAAGAAAGCAGGCTGGCATGGACGACTACTGGCCGGACACGATAACACAGTCCCACCTTCACTGATCACCCAACCAAGAACCGACCAGCCAACCATGCATGGTTTCCCTTCTTATTTATAAATTATAATATTTTAAAAATTATTTTATTCGACGATCGATCTCTATGTGCATGCAGATCAAATATATTTTCTATTAAAATATAGGTGGTAGGATCATGTCGCACGTCCCAAACCAATCACATGCATGGTTGTGCCCGCCATATCTATTCAAGACTACAAGGACAAAACCACAATTTCCTAAATTACAGTTTCAATTTTCAACAAAATTAATTAATACCAGACGACCACAAATATAACTAATTCTGGCCCACATTCGTTTTTTATTTTTAATATTTTTTTTAACAAATGATATTATTTTATTTAAATTCGTTTTTGACGAAAATATAATATTCTCGTTTTTCAGGCTATATTTTCGTTCACTGATTGCGCAACAAAGAAATTTAAGAAGATGTGAATAACATGGAACAATAATCACACGTGTCAGCTAATAAAAAATAGAATACAAATCCACGGCTCCTGTTCTCTTTCATATTGGTCACCGGATGATCAAGTGATCTGGCCTTTGAAATTTCATACGGCCAAAAATTATTATAGCTTTTAAAGATCAAAACAAGTAAGCCGTTAGATGAAATTCAAAAATTCAGATCACTTGATCTGATGACTTTAGTGAAAGAGATCCAAAGATGATATATTTTCCAAATGCACAACAAAAAACATAAAAAGTGCAAAAGAGGATAAAACCCTAGTAAAGAAGGAAAATACCGTCGGGGGCACGGAATAAACTTTCGGTCAATAGTTATCCGAATAAGCTCCACGTCATCTTTCACCTGGTTTCCTTTTTTCTTTTTGTTGAGGAATTTAATTAGTGAGAATTGTCGGAATTAAAAATATTTATTAAGAAAAAGTAAAATCAAATCCGGAAACACAACGACATGTTATTACTACTCGTACATTAACAAACGGCGTCGGTGATAGTGTTGTTATTTGCTAGAGCTATTGAGACGGTGTGTCGTTCCATCGGTTTCAGTCGTCGTTTTGGAATTCTTGTCTTTTAACTTAGGAAATTTTAATTACTCATGTTTAACATGTTAATTTAGCCGAATTTACTGGCTTATAAAGTTTAACTACTTTAAGATGTGTTGCAGTATAATAGCAAATACGTGTTAAAGTCATCGATAAACATCATACATGTAGTTTGAATGCTTGTATTAACGGTGATTAGTTATAATACCAAAAGACGATTAGTTAGAAAAGTTTAAACTTAGTGGCTACATTAATAATGTTTATCGAACTTGATAAAATTTTAACTCAAAACATATTCGAGATTTAATTTATTACTAACGAAATATTATCCTGTTGATTGTTTTTGCTCACCAAAAAATAATTTTTAATTATAAAAGCAGTTACTCAACCAAATAATTATTATTTTTTAAATTAAAGAGATTAATTGCGCAAATTTAGGATCCAATAGGGAAGGATCATCTAAAAAAGGAAAAAAGAGAAAGCATAGATTTTGACCGTGAGAAAAAGGTTAGGGTTTTTACCTCAGACTCGGACATTTTCCATGGATAGACCTAAACATCTGCTAATTTTCTTAATTTTATCCTTAATTATTTTTTTTAAAAATTTGTTCCAGCATTTTAAATAAATATAATTAAATAGCCACACTCATGATCCTAATCTCCATCTCTCTGTCTCTCACTTATATAAACCCACTCTAACCATCCACAGACACACTCTCGTTCACACTCTCTCTCCTCTCTTTCTCTCTCTTGAACTCCAAGGCTCCTCTGTTTCTCTGTGTTTCCTCTTTTGGGCAAAGGAGCTATGGGGGCGACGATACTCCCAGATCTCGGGGCGGAGATTTTGATTCCGCTGTGCGCGGTGATCGGCATCGCCTTCTCCTTGGTCCAGTGGATGTACGTTTCGCAGGTTAAGCTCTCCCCAGGCGGTGGCCGGGACTCCAATTCCGGCGGCGCTGCCAAAAATGGGTACAACGATTACCTCATCGAGGACGAAGAAGGCGGTAACGATCACAACGTCGTCCTCAGATGCGCCGAAATCCAAACCGCCATTTCCGAAGGTCCATTTCCACACTCTCTCTCTCTCTCTCTCTCTCTCTCTCTCTAAATTTCACGTCTTTTGAAATTCTGATTGATAAAACGGCGTCGGATTTGCTCATTTGGTTTTCTGGGTTCGGTTTGTATGCTTAATTGTTGTGTTTATGTCATTTTTGTTTGAGCTTTGAGTTCTTCAGTTTGCAGAGCAAACAGAGAAAAAAAATAAAGTTGTCTTCTTTTTGTGGATCCGACGTCGTTTTATCCGCTGTGTTTACTGGTTCTAATTATGTTTTCAACAGATTAACGACTTGTGTGATTACATTATTAATATGTTTTAGTAGGATTATGGTCGATTGTTCGTGAATTTTGGTGCATCAATTATTTACCCTTTATTATTTTATATTATTTGGTAGGGATGGGAAGGACCCACCTATTATTTTTTAAACTGTGATAAAATCTTCTATTTTTAAGCTACGTAAGTTCATGTCCAAATGATAGTTTTCGGACTTGTTCGGTTCAACGCCAGTTATGGTGGAATTGGTAAATTGTTGGTCAAGTTTATGTTTCAGTAACTTGTTGATGCTTGTGTGATACAGGCGCAACCTCGTTCCTTTTCACGGAGTACAAGTATGTGGGTGCTTTCATGGTCGCTTTTGCAATCTTGATCTTCCTTTTCCTTGGGTCCGTGGAGGGATTTAGCACAAGTGGCCGTGCGTGTACGTATGATCAAACCAAGATATGCAAACCAGCTCTCGCCACCGCCATCTTCAGCACCGTTTCCTTCTTGCTTGGTGCCATAACTTCAGTGGTTTCGGGATTCCTCGGGATGAAGATTGCTACTTACGCAAATGCCAGAACAACGTTGGAGGCAAGAAAAGGTGTTGGGAAGGCTTTTATTACTGCATTTAGATCAGGAGCTGTGATGGGATTTCTCCTCGCTTCAAGTGGTCTGTTGGTTCTTTACATTGCTATCAATCTCTTCAAGTTGTACTACGGTGATGATTGGGGTGGTCTTTTCGAGGCTATAACTGGCTATGGTCTTGGTGGATCTTCCATGGCTCTATTTGGCAGAGTTGGTGGAGGCATCTATACCAAAGCTGCTGATGTCGGTGCTGATCTTGTCGGCAAGGTTGAAAGAAATATTCCCGAGGATGACCCAAGGAACCCGGCTGTAAGAGATTCACCACCATTTGGAAATTTGTTTGAACCTGTTAATTTAATTTCTCCGTGTCTCCAAAACTGATGTTTTCCATTTGTACAGGTGATAGCTGATAATGTCGGAGACAATGTTGGAGATATAGCTGGCATGGGATCTGATCTTTTTGGATCCTATGCTGAGTCATCGTGTGCTGCCCTTGTGGTTGCTTCCATTTCCTCATTTGGGATCAATCACGAGTTAACTGCAATGCTATATCCTCTCATTGTCAGTTCCATCGGCATCCTTGTTTGTCTGCTCACCACCCTATTTGCAACCGATTTCTTTGAGATCAAGGCTGTAAAGGAAATTGAGCCAGCACTGAAGAAGCAGCTCATCATCTCTACTGTACTCATGACTGTTGGAGTTGCGATTGCTACATGGATTTCTGTTCCATCTTCCTTCACAATCTTCAATTTCGGAACACAGAAAGTTGTGAAGAGCTGGTAAGCTTTGCTTCTTTTGAAAATTTATTGTCATCAGTGCTGTGATTAAGGAGATTTCTGCGGTTATATTTCTACTTGTACGTTGCTCTATCTGTTTATTGTATCTGAACGCTGAATTGAATTTGCAGGCAGCTATTCTTATGTGTCGGTGTTGGTTTGTGGGCTGGGCTTATCATTGGGTTCGTAACAGAGTACTATACAAGCAATGCGTACAGGTAACTAGTTTTCTTGGGGTTTACCGCTCTACCATATCTAGTTTAGTTGTCTTTGAATCTAATGGTTGCTCTGTATTATGCTGTAGCCCTGTGCAAGATGTTGCTGATTCTTGCCGGACTGGAGCTGCGACCAATGTCATTTTTGGCCTTGCATTGGGATACAAATCCGTCATTATTCCTATATTTGCCATTGCAGTCAGCATTTTTGTTAGTTTTAGCTTTGCAGCTATGTACGGGATTGCCGTAGCTGCCCTTGGAATGCTGAGCACCATTGCAACTGGATTAGCCATTGATGCATATGGTCCCATCAGTGACAATGCTGGAGGCATTGCTGAGATGGCAGGCATGAGTCACAGAATCAGAGAGAGAACTGATGCTCTTGATGCTGCAGGAAACACCACTGCCGCTATTGGAAAGGTTTGGAATTTCCTCTTAAGTATTCATTGATGGTCCGAGGAATTGACCTCTAGTTATCAATCCTAAAATTTTAAACGTCACTGAGTCACGTGTGCTTCTGTTTGTAGGGATTTGCAATTGGCTCTGCTGCTCTTGTGTCCCTTGCTCTATTTGGTGCCTTTGTCAGCCGTGCTGGTATCGAAACGGTTGATGTGTTGACCCCAAAAGTGATTATTGGTTTGTTAGTGGGCGCAATGCTTCCGTATTGGTTCTCTGCCATGACAATGAAGAGTGTGGGAAGTGCAGCTTTAAAGATGGTTGAGGAAGTGCGCAGGCAATTCAATACCATTCCAGGTCTCATGGAGGGCACTGCCAAGCCGGACTACGCTACATGTGTTAAGATTTCGACTGATGCTTCCATCAAAGAAATGATCCCACCTGGTGCCCTTGTCATGCTTACACCCCTCATTGTTGGGATCTTTTTTGGTGTGGAAACTCTCGCTGGCGTGCTTGCTGGATCCCTTGTCTCCGGTGTACAGGTAATGCTGATACAGTTGCTTGATTGATCTTTCCTTCTGTTGACTCGTCTCTCTGTTTGGGTCAATTATTCTAAATCTGAATAAAACCTGTTTGCATTTGCAGATTGCCATTTCTGCATCCAACACGGGCGGTGCCTGGGATAATGCCAAGAAATACATTGAGGTAAGCATTTGATGGGTTTTACAAATGCTTTTTTGTGGCTATGCTTAAGCTGTATCAGCTTTTTAGCTTTGTCTTATCGTCTGGATTTTGGCTGGTGTAATAGGCTGGTGCTTCGGAGCATGCAAGGACCCTTGGTCCAAAAGGATCAGAATGCCACAAAGCTGCAGTCATTGGCGACACCATTGGAGACCCTCTCAAGGATACGTCTGGACCATCGCTCAACATTCTTATCAAGCTTATGGCCGTTGAGTCTCTTGTGTTTGCTCCGTTCTTTGCCACACACGGTGGGCTGCTATTCAAGATTTAAGTTAAAAACGGTGCAACAGAAAGCCGGAAGTTGTTCCTCTCTGTTGTTCGATTCTTCGTTTTCATCTGTTGATCCTTCCTGCCAATCTCCTCAGCGTAATGTTAGCCTTTAATTAGAGCATGCTTTTGGCATTTGAATTAGTAGCCAGAGGTAGAATTGAACGAAGTTTTCCCTTTCTAGAGGACTGTTAATGATGATGATAACGACGACGACACAACGATGATGATGACGATCATGGTCGACCTTAGTAAAAGAGAGTTTGGATTTCTTCTGTAACTTTCATTCATCAGAACCGGTCATTGTCCATTTTTCTTACATTGTAAGAGATTAATGCACATCGCCTTTCGGTCTTCTGCAGTTTTGTGTTGTTTTCTCTTTCCAGCCAGTAGAGTTTTAGAGTCAGGTTTTGCTTTGGCAAATGGCAAATGCCAAGCCTAAAGTAACTTAGAACTTTTGGAGAAAAAGAAGTTTCATGCAACAGGATGCAAATGTGGTGGTTTTTGAAGTCATTGTGCAATTTTTTTCCTTTTTTCATTCAACAGTAATGTTTTAGTAGTCTGATTTTGAATTAGATAAACGCTGTAAATAAGAGTCAAAGTTAGAACAATCCATCATTGTATTTTGAGTTTGAATCGTCTTAAAATGTGAAAAGAGTTTGTCATATTAAGTTAAATATAAGTAACAACAATGGTCAATTTGTGTTCTTACCCTGAATTCGAATCATCCACATATCAAGTTATATTGTTACTATACCCTAATCTTTGGTAGCAACATAACTTATGTAATCCAAGATCCAAAAAAATGTGGCTGAATAGAGGTGGTGATTTTCCCTCTCATTTTTTCTTATGCACTTCTTTTAGTTATGTCATTGGATTCTCGTTTCATTTATTCAATCTAAAGAATATGAGAGGAGTGCATAGGCAGAAAATGAGATTGCGAAATTCACTTCGCTCGAATAAATGAATTTTAGCCTTCTTCGAAAATAAAAATAAAAATAAAAATAAAGATAAAGATGGTAATATTATAGAAACATTAACTGAATCTTAATAAAGGAGCTATACATATGATATCACCAGAAGTTATCCCTTTTGTTCACTCGCATTTCAAATATTGAATTTTCTTGGTTGACACGTTAACTTCCAAAGTGCAGTCCATTTTCGCAGACTTGTTCTTCTTCATCACCATCATCAACTCCACCTTTCCTTTCACCGTCGCTTCGCTCATCAGCCGCAAAACCCCGGTGCTCAGTTCAGTACGAAGACTGGAGTTTTTGGAGCTTGGCAGCCCCTTGGTACTCAAATTCACCGTGACATCAATCTTCTTGGTCGACAACATTCCGGCCTTGCCCTTGGGAATGCTAACTTGCCCGACAGTCGCGCCATCGTAGTCAAACTTAATAGTGCTTGCGTCAAACTTGTACCGACCGAAATTTGTGTTCTTGATCCTGATTTGGGTTGCGAATGTCATGTCGAACGAGGGCGTTGCAGGGGCGGCCGTGAAATTTTGCACGTCGACGGCACCAAGTCGCACCTTCGGCGACTTCACTTTCAGCACGGTGAGGCTTAGTGCGGTGATCACTATGATCTGAAACACAACAAACACAGCAATGTAGATTGCCAATCTGATTCTCTTCTTCCGTTTGAGCTCCTGCTGCTCCGGTTGCGAATTCGCCCTCTCTTGGTCACTTGTCTGATTGCTTTCCACCGCCATTTTCTTTTCTTTTCCTGGAAAATGCCTCGGAGTTTTTTTATGAGTCGGGAGATGAATTGGGAGATGGAGAGAGTTTGTTGTGTATTTATAGGGAAGTTGTGACTGAGGACTTAGGGAGGAGGAAGAAGAGGTGGCTTGTTCCTGCAAGAAAAGCCACAAGTGGATTGTACGTATTAATTTCTCTTCCTTGTTGAATTGAATTTGGAACGCGTTTCATCAGTTTGACTTTCTCGACTCTAATTAGAACGGTCGCATGGACCTCCAACTTGGACCTTGAGACTTTCTTTCTACAAGTTGCCTTATGTCATGTCTCATATGGATTGGCCTTTGATATGGGTTGCTCAGGATTGGGCACGTTGTTTTATGTTTGGGCCGTCTGCCCCTAATGGTATCGTGAACATGTGCCAAGGTGCAGACGTGGATGTAATGACATTGGTTTGAACGAATGTGCGCTTTCTCGCTATGTGCTCGAATTTGAAATGCTACTCTTGGTAGTTTAGATTTCATTAATGTCGAGTTGAATTTGCTAAGATTAAGATCTGTTTGAGACTCTCGTACATGAAAAAAAGAACAATTGGCTCATAAGCACATTTTAGAAGCCCTTTTATTAAAAAGAGCAAAATTATAGGAAACACTTCAAGTGCTTTCCGTGATTCACTTACATTTCACTAAAAATTGATCCCAAAAGCTCTTTCAGCAAAAGTGCTTTTAGTCAGGTAGAAAACTGAAACTCTTTCTAATAGAACAAAAGTGAGCATGAAAAACAAATAGTAATTATGCTGTTGTTTTTATTTATGCATTTCTCACCTCATTTTTGTCTATCCACTATCCATCCATTCAATCTAAGAACCAATGTAAGAGGAGAAAAAGAAAATGCAGAAATCACTTTTCAAAATAAAAAAAAATTAGAAAAAAACCCAAAAATTAAAATAAAGTAAGAGAATTTATTTTTATGATTTTCTCAAAAATAAAAGAAAATAAAAATAAAAGGCACAATTCTCATTTTTCTTGTGAAATTTGAAATTGTGAATCGCCTCCTCTCTCCGAGTCTCCAGAGCGCAAAAGTCTCCCAAATATTTTAATATTTTGGTTTTGGAAGTGTCTGGTTCCGGTCTGTGTCTTATCTGGCTAAGCTCGTAGTCATCGTCATCGTCATCATCTCGTTTCTCCTCAGCCTCTCATACCCTTTCTTTCGTCGCACCTTCCGATTCCTCGGCTCTCTGAATTAGGGTTTCTGAGCTGCCCCAATTCTCGATTTCGTTTCCCATGGCTTCGATACTCGTCTCCTCCAAATCGTAGAGTAAAAGCATATTCATCGCAAAATTCGTATTTTCCAGGTAAAATTCTACTTCCTTTTCTTTCAAATTAGCCAGGAAATTCATGAATTTCAATTGAATTCTCATTTCTAGCTGTAGAATTTTCATTTTTTTTATTATAATTACTTTAGTAAAGAAGCAAACTTGCTGCAATTATTAGAAGCATAAACTAAAATATGAAAAGGGATTTTTTAATTTTCTCTGTATTTTCTTGTATTATGATTTGAATTAGATTTACAGAAAGATGGAATATTGTTAGGCACATATGTAACTTTCAGCTGGGAATGTTTTGCAGGAAGGATGAAGAGTCTTAAGGATTGGATTTCTTCTCAGTTAGTTTCCATGCCTTTGGTTTTGCCTCGGCCATTGTCGGGCAGGGACAATTTCTTTAGAGAGGAATCCTCCAATGAAGAGTTTGATGACCAAGGTAATGCCGCCCTTCCGATACTTCATCCATTGTACTTAATGAGTGATTCCTAAGATTGACTGTAAGATGTGCACTTCTTTAGTTTAAGAATTTTGTTTAGTGTAAAAGATACTAAATCCTTAGTTGATGCTAAAAAGTGGAAACCAATATCAATGTACGGGTTGTACATTGTTTGACTATGTGAAGAGAGTTCAATGTTTTCTAATTTTCAGGTGCTGCTCACTCGAACACTTTGGTATCACCACGCATCCATCCTGCCGCATCAACCTCATTTAATAGTGATCAGGAAAATCAGTCTGGTCCTTCCCTGCAGCATGCTGTAGTCGAAAATTCTGATCACTCTCATAATCGCTCTGGTAAGAAAAAGATGGATCCTTTGGTAAGAATTGACGATCTTCAAGTTAAATTTTTGCGCCTCCTCTTACGGCTTGGTCTGTCACAAAACAATGTTCTGGTGGCTAAGGTTCTTTATCGTATTCACCTGGCTACTTTGATACGAGCAGAAGAATCAGATTTGAAAAGAGTTAATCTCAGGAGTGATAGAGCTAGAGCAGTGGCAGCAGAACAAGAGGCATCTGGCCTGCCTGAAATGGATTTCTCTCTCAGAATCCTTGTCCTTGGGAAAACAGGAGTTGGCAAGAGTGCTACAATAAACTCTATATTTGACCAAACGAAGACTGAAACCAATGCATTTCGACCTGGCACAAATCGTATTCGAGAGGTTGTGGGAACTGTGAATGGGATTCAAGTAACTATCATCGATACCCCTGGTTTTTTGCCTTCATGTACTGGTAATTTCCGCAGAAATAAGAAGATTATGCTCTCTGTGAAGAAATTTATTAGAAAAAGTCCACCTGACATCGTTTTGTTCTTCGAACGCCTCGACCTCATGAGTACTAGCTACAATGACTTCTCCCTCTTGAAGCAAATAACCGAAGTATTCGGTCCTGCAGTTTGGTTTAACACCATTCTTGTCATGACACATTCTTCCCTAGCACTTCCAGAAGGACCAGATGGGCATCCCGTCAATTATGAAGCATATGTGAGGCAAAGCACAGATATGGTGCAGCACTATATACACCAGGCAGTGTCTGACTCCAGAATTGAAAACCCAGTGTTGTTAGTTGAGAATCATCCTCAGTGTAGGAAAAATATCGCCGGTGAAAAGATACTTCCAAACGGACAGGTTTGGAAATCCCAGTTTTTGTTATTATGCATTTGTACTAAAGTTCTGAGTGATGTCAATATCCTCATGAAATTTCAAGACAGCATTCATCTGGGGCCCTCAAATGCCACTCACGTGCCTTCTCTGCCGCATCTTCTCTCTTCTCTTCTACGTCATCGCTCTACTATTAGTTCAAGTGGAGGGGATGTTGAAGTTGATGAGAGCTTGGTTTCATATACGCAGGAGGAAGATGAGTATGATCAATTACCTCCAATCCGAATTCTAACAAATTCTCAGTTTGAGAGATTAACAAAATCACAGAAAAAAGACTATCTTGATGAATTGGATTATCAAGAGACCCTTTATCTAAAGAAACAGTTGAAAGAAGAGTATCGTAGGCAGATGGAGGTTAAGCTTTCCAAAGAGAAAAATATGGCGAGCGGTGATAATTCTGACAGTCAGCAGGCTTCCCAAGAAGAGGCTGTTTTATTACCAGATATGGAGGTCCCTCCAAGTTTTGGTTCTAATTGCCCCGCACACAGGTATCGTTGCCTTGTTACAAATGATCAGTGGATTATGAGACCTGTTCTTGATTCCCATGGATGGGATAATGATGCGGGCTTGGATGGGGTTAGCTTGGAAACTGCTATGCAGGTACACAGGAATGTGTTTACCTCTGTCGCAGGGCAGATGAGCAAGGACAAGCAGGATTTTAGCATTCAATCTGAGTGTGCTGCAG